ACTGTCCATGTGTTCAATCACTATACCCTTGTGTGCTAATTAGGACTGTCAATTAAAAACCCTAATAAGGTAAGCCAGTTCAAAAAATTGATCAGTCACAATCTCTTGCTCTGTGCTTTTTTCAATTACAATTGGACATAGCCCCAAGATGTATTGAAACCACACTTGAAACCGTACTTGCATTTTCACATTTCTTCATTTCATTTTTTTTATGGAAGGTAGTTAAAATGATGTATTTGCTCACATATATAGTTTACTTGGAGTTTTTAAAATTTAGACTATTCACTGCTACAAAAAAAGACGATTCCAATATATTGCTGTTTGTAGCTAAACATTAGCACATGTTGATCAAGTTGCAGGAAAATTAGGCTCACTTACTTAAAGAAGTGAGTGCCTGTCTCAAGAATGTACACAAAGACCGGTAGCTGGGTTGGAGACAGCATTGATGGGTTACACAGAAAACCTCCTTTAGAAGAATCTCATATACAAAATGTGTCATGGAAGCAACCTTTTTGTGAGTACTATCCAATAGGTCATAGAAATGACCTTTAAAATGTAGTGAGGTCTAGACTTTTTACACAGATGATTCAGACATAGCTTCATAATAGTTGTATAAAATCCAGAAGAGTTTGATCCATCGCACCCCTGACAACAGAAAAATCTTGAAACATTTATTATAGGGTAAGGATAATGTCAGGAGGAATTTCAATGACTGGATGTAAGATTTTCATCCCCTGATGAATCTTGGTAATGTCTGGATTCTATCGATACAAGAGCTAAAGACTGTACAGGGAATGTTTTTTTTCCTTCATTTGTGGAAAAACAGTGCAACAGTACTGAGCGATCTGTCAGACTGAAGGTAGGAATCAGCAATAGAGAAGAAGTGGGTAATGAGCCTCCCACTAGTGACCGGAAGTACAAGACCAAAAATAAATGCTCCTCAAAGTATAATAATAATGGTAATTGCATATCACTGTCCATAATTGGGCTGCAACAATAAAAACAGGATAAATTGCACTCAAACTCTCTTTTGGCCTCTCAGTGACCTGTGCTAATGAAAAAGACAAGGTTCTGGGATTCGAAGAGCACTGCGCATGCCTCGTTTGAAAATGATCAATTAGTGACAAGTGTGATTACCATTACTGTCACTTTGAATTTTGGAAGGCAGAAGACAAGCATAGATTTTTTATCTTTACCAAATTACCAGGATGAATCAATTTATGAAGAGAAAAACATCAGATGGAGATAAAATGTCTGAAGTTACTAATATGGAGACAGAGAGTGTAGTCAGAAATGACAACTCAAGATAAATTAAGTTTGGATAGTCAATAACTGAAAACCTGAAATGTGCAGAGATACTCACATACTCAACACTCTGAATTAGTTGGAAAACTAAAACCAAAGGAAGAATAATCTCTAATAAAATACTATTTTTAAAGTTGAAGACTTAAAATTATTCAGACTGGGCTATAATGATTTAAACAGTTGGGAAAACAATGCCTCTAACATGTCTATAACAAAAAATACTTCAATCTTCTTCAGACCTCCACAGATTCCATAATAATAAATACAGCAGCTCAATGTAAAAAAGCAAGAACAGGAAACACCAAGTAACTGGATTCCATATGATAGCTTGTCTCACGAAAAAGCAACAGCAAGATGAGGCTGGTTCTTAATCGTAGTCTTATTAAAAGTACTGTTCAGACTCCACTAATGTGAATAATAAGGTAGACAGCAAACAGACATGAGATGAGAATGTAATTTTCTCTTCATCTTCATATTACATCCTGCTTTTCTTCTAATCATCGGTCTTACATAGAACTCATTCCATTTAAATTAGAAAATTGTAATTGCTTACTGTACGATACTAGACCAGAACTAAATACAGCTTAAATCTTACAGCTAAATCTGAAATAGCTCATTCCTAATAAAACACTGACAAACATACTGTAGGTTTCCTTTGGTCACCTGACATTCTTAGTAATGATCTAAGTTCTGTTTTCAGTTGATTATTTGCACCAATAACAAGGGGCTTTACTATAAATTTCCCAACTACAGTTAAAGAAAGAGCTCACAAGCCATTCTAAGGATTAAATTACACCATGTCACTTAAATAGCCTGTCCCTACCATATACAGCAAAATCACATTTGTAGTTTTGTGCTGCTTTAGGTAGTAACGAGCTGACTAGCCATGCTGGTGAAGCTGATACCTTGGACCCTGGACCAAGAAACGGCTAGATTACATCATTGGGTCATTCTGTTTCCTTGTTTGTAAATCACTATGTTATCTTACGTTCTTATGTTTTGTATGCAAGAATAAATTCTTGATGTGATAGTATTATTTGTCTAAGTCAACAACATCAGTTTCTGAAAGTGAGCTTTATAAATTTCACACACCACTAGTCAACCACTGATACTTCAGTCTTACACAACTCTCCCCCATAGCCTCCACCAATAACTCATACTTGACAGTGCCTGGTCAAACTTGAGCACACTGTGACTTTAGCAAGTTTGCAACTGAACAGATTTTTGATAAGAACATGTAATTAAAACGCAAAAAAAACTGTAGGGATTTATTTGGATTACTTGCAAACTCCCTTAAGGAATGCATTAATTTAAAAGAGGGACATTCAGAAGGCCATTTAAGTTTACATTACAAAGTGATTTATCAGATTCTTCTTAGAGGCTTACTTTCAGCCATGGATAAACAACCAAACCTATTAAATCTGAACAGCATGTATATATACTTTGGTTTAAGGGTTTACACACTTAGACTTAGATAAATTAAACTCCTACTTTGAAACAACATTAAGGCAAAATGATGCAAAAATGCTGTTTGCCAGTAGGTGATTGATAATTACATAAATGGAGCAAGGGTGTTACAGTGGGGATGTTGGTGCTATTATTTCATAGCTCTTGAGTCCTGCGTTTGATTATTATGTGGGACACCTTCTGTATGGAATTTGCTAGATATTTTATTATCATTTGATTCGTTATTCTCAATTGTCCCTTTTTCCATTTCATCCATGGTCTTGTGATGGACTAGTAGCCCATCCAAGACAAGGGCAGTCATGAACTCATAGTTCTGTCTTTCTTCCTATGTTTCTAGGTATTTTTCTGAACCTTGATTTGTCAATCAGGCTTGCTAAACCTCAATAGAATAATCAGCTTTCTGATAATGGATGGGTGGACAAACAGAAAAGAAACTTGTTAGTTATTTTGGAAAGCACTATATAACATATCAACGTCCATTATCTGTTGTTCGGCATATCCTAGCTAATATGGCTACAGATCCAATCAATTGCACCTCACAGCCCCGTGCAGGACTTTTTCTTTAAATTGAGTCTATGAATCAGTGAGCACAGGAAATTCGAGAGATCCTGTAAGTTGAATAAATACACTCAGGTCCTCAAGGCAAAAGAAGCTAGACAAAAAGAGGGGAAACACTGATTCACTAGTTTCACAGACTCAGATGATGATTAAATGTTAGACAGGAACCTGATGATGACGAAATTCAGTAGAAAAAATTGAACATTTGCCAGAAATTGTGCATCCTAGAGTACTAAAAATGACAGGTCTTAAAAAGGACACATCCACTTAAAATATTTGTCTTTCTGTCATGCAAAAACTATAAATACATTTTGAATGTTTTGTATCACCTGAAACCTACAGTAAACAAAAGGAGTAGTATGTGAATTTAAGAATTCAGTATAAACTTAAATATATGTAGTCTGTATGTTTAACTCATCTAAATCATACATATTTTAACACATTTTCCTTCTCTAATTTTTAAACTTGACTCATTATTTAAGTCATATCAGGTAAACTTAATAAATATTATTGTGTTTCTAAATATTTTATAAATATTACAGTTTGGTTTCTAACCAAGCAAAAAACAAAATGTAACGTTAATTACATTGCTTTTTTATGTGATTGAATTGAAATATGATATCTTAAGACCATATTTTAAATTATTATGGAAAGTAAAAAAAAATAACTAGAATATTCAGGTGATAGAAGTAAAAGACTACAAGACAAAATCATGTTTCTCTCACATTTGTGCAATGTGTTTCTTAGAAACCCCATTTATTGTAAATCAAGGTTTCAACTACACTTGACAAAATGCAGCTGGAAAGCATGCGGACATGTTCAAGTACACCTCACCCAGACCTGCCAACTCCATTGCAATTGAGCATCAAAGGATCTCTGTTCTCTGACCAAGTGCCACTTTTTTAATACCCATGCTGTGAAAACAGATTTCATCTGTTTGCTGACATTGTTTCATGTCAATTACTTTTCTCATTCATGTTCCCAAGACTACAGTATTCAGATGCTAAAAGAACAAAATGCATTTTCTACAGTTTTGAAGTGGACCAGTATGTCAGAACAAATTACTCCAATTTGAGCTCTGTTGTCCCAATAGATTCCACATAAGATGAATGAGATTTCTTCACCTTCAGGATACTTAAAACATACACTTCAACAAGAAGCTATTTTAGTCGTATAATTGTAAGGCTGTGCCCTTCCCCTAGACAGACTATCATCATGTATTCCTGAGGAGAGGGATCATCACAATAAAATGCAGGCGTGAACAATTTAGCTTACTAGACTAAAAATCATATGGGGAGTGAAAACCTGTTGTACATTCCAGCTGTGGTTTTGTGTCTATGTTGCAGAAGTGGCTTCTCTGCTGTGCTGTGCTAAGAGGAAAATGCTTATAGTCTTAATTTAATATTTTGTATGTATACATGGCCCATTTTTTTGTTTAAATTTTGCATTTTTGTATCTGCAAGTTTGCAGAATTGTCTTAATTTAAAACAGTTTTTCTTACTTTTTCTTCCAAAGGATGTTTGTTAAAGATGTCAGACTTATTGCACTGCTATTTATTCAAAAAGAGGCTGTGGAATGGCAGAGGCCTGGAGGAGAAGTTGTTTTTGCTGTTGTCAGTTGTACAGGTTAAGACATACAGTAGAAAACACCCACAGAGTAAACACACTCACCTCTGAATGCTTGACTCTCCCCTCCTGAAAAGAACAGGACCGCGGGTCATGGGTACACATGTGGCGATATTTACACCAGTGGCACTGATAGGGACTATTCACACAAGACAGGCACCTGGTAGACAAGAAATGACAGAAACACAAACACTGATGAAAAAACTATATTCCTCAGAAATCTACACATTATCTACTTCTTTAAAACATTCACCTACAAAGTTTTAAACAGCGAGTAAATACTAAGGTGGGATTTCACATTGGGCATTATTATGATTATTTGTTCCAAACAACAGTTGTTTTATAGATATTCTCATACATAAGATTCAGACTGGTAGTTAGCCTAAGGCAGCAAAATGTGTACAAAGTCTCCTGCCTTGGGGAAATCCCATTAGGAGGAGAAGGAGGATCAGCTGAGGTACCGAATGCCTACTAAATTCTGCTGGATTTAGAATTGTTACAGTACCTAGCATCACCTTGCAATTACAAAAAGATGTTCATTCCACAGAGATATTAGTAACAACTTTCAGATAGAAGTTTTTCTATTAAATGGCATATGAATTTACAGTATGAACTAGATGTTCAAATTTAATATGGAGCAGTAAAGCCCATAGATGGATTATAGTCTGAGTTCAAATTTCTCGTCAGTTTTGTATCACAATCACACATACTGAGGTAGATGGTGATGGTGTAGGTGTGGTCCGAGGGGGATGGTTAAATGTGTTTGCCAATCTCACTGCTTGTGGATAGAAGCTATTGAGCTCTTCACCCCACTTCCCTCAGGCAAGAGATATAAGAGCATACGGACACTTACCACTAGATTCTTCAATAGCTTCTATCCACAAGCAGTGAGATTGGCGAACATATTTAGCCATCCCCCTCGGACCACACCTACTCCATCACCATCTACCTCATTATGATTTCTTATCTACTGTATTGCACATCTCCAGTCATTGTTTACACGTCTGTATTGTTTACATTCAAACTGTCTACTGTTTGTTTGTATATTGTCTTGATGCACTGTTTGCACTTTGTTTTGTTTTTTACACTTGTTTTACAATCGAGAGACTTTCTGTAAGTAAGAATTCCATTGAACCAGTACCGGTTACATATGGCAATAAAGTTCAAGTTCAAGTTCAATTCTAACTCGAAATCTTAAATCTTAGTTCATAATAATATCCTGAACATCAAAGGTAACCTTATAACAGCAACACATTCACAGTTATTAGGAAAATAACAAAAAAAAAGGGAAGGCACACATTATTATGCGGCCTTTACATAGGTAAATTCATTCTGCTGATCAACATTTTTTATCAATAGTGCCAGTCAACAGGGAGTATACTTTGAAAGTCACAAGCTACTGTAGTAAAATGTGCGGACACTGCTGGAACCAATCCAGGCTCTACATCTGCAGTTATGCATTGATTAGTCTTTAATTGCCATCTTCCATGATTCTGCCCCATTCCTCTTCCAAATCTTGGAAAATCCGTGCCTTTGCACTAGATGTCACAAAGTGTCTCAGCTCAACTTGCAAATGATCAGTGGTTCTCAAGTCTGGTGACTAGGGTCTCCAAAGCATAACATAAGAACAGTAATAAATGAGAGGAAATTATCTGGCCACTCTAGCTTGTTTGTTAGATTCTTATTAATCCAAAGACCTCATCCAGCTAAATCCTGAAGGTAGTCAAAGTATATGTTTCATCCCCTATGGCTTGTTCAATACTCTTACACCTTTTTTGGTAAAGAAGTGCTTCATATTCTCTCCATTCAACGGAGTGTCATGTGGTTTGTGTTTCACAGTTTCATAAGTGTGTGAAAGATTTTGCTACACAAACAACATGACAACGCATGGTGTCCTGACCGAACGTTGTCACATGGCAATGAGCCCAAACTGAGAAGGCAGCAAGTGAGAGGATCCAGGACATCATTGATGTTGTGCAGTGTAGACAGGCAGCCATCAGTCTCTTCCTGTGCAGTTACGTTGTGACTAGATATTCCTGTTCTCAGGCAATCACACTAGGGCTCCCCCATTGATTTGTGTGTTGGACAAAATAATTAGCAAAGATTTCTGCACATCTGTACACACTTAATGATGTCTATTAAGTGGTCTACACAAAGCCTTGATTAATCACTAAAGAAGACAACTCCATTGCAGCTGAATCCACCTGAGATGACGCAGTCGGGTCTACAGCTTACCTCGTGCCTGTGATGGGTTGAAGGCTTTGTTCTCTGAAGGCATAACCAGACCATTCTGATTCTTCTTCACTTGACTTTCAACGTAAGCTTTCTTGATTTTTAGGCATGACTTTCAATATTTTAAATCATATCTTTATCTGTGCCTGATCATCTTTCTGTCTAATGAGGTGATTTAGTGCTTGTGCAACAGTCAGAGTCACTCAGGAATATCACGTACAGTACAGTATGATGGATAAATTCATCAAATTGACACCAAAAACAACCAATATTTATTTTGATGCTCAGTATAGTATTTGGTGATGAAATCCAACCAATTTTAATATAGTGTTATCAATTGAAGTGCGTGTTAGAAACATCCCAAGGGTATTTTTCTTCCATCCATGCTCTGCCTGTCTGATGCTGATACTTTGATACTTCCTCACGACTAGACTACTGTCATGTCTCACTGAGGATTTTCTTAGAAACATTATGAAACAGGCTTCAGTATGTCAAGACTTTTGTGACTTGTGTGCTAACTCTAAGTGCAGTACTATGCATTAGCATATAACTCCCATCCTCTGTAAATTGCTCTTGCTCGCTGTGAAATTTACAATTTACTTTAAGGTTCTCCTGCTCATGTAAGCATGCGTATATTCAAGCTCTTAATCTTAGACCTGCTGATTCTGCCCTTTTTACTCAGCCAAATACCAGGCAACAAAAAATGGGTGACAGGGCCTTCTTCAGTACAACACCTAGTCAATGGCCAAACATGTCAGAGATTCTTCAACTATTGATGATTCAGTTTAAAAACTAAACATTAGTCAATACCTGTCCATTCACTATAGTTTGTAAAGTATAATTGAGTTTTGCTGATTTTAAAGAATGAATTCTATTTCTTTTTACTTTTTATGTATATCATGTGACATCACGTCAGACATCACGTCACTGAGTTTCTTGAAAAGTGCTTGTGAACAAAGATGCATTATTACACACCTAAAGTAATGGTCAATGGAAGGTGGTCTATCTCATGCGAATCCAGCACTCATCACTGTCAAGATGAACCGTAAACGAAACTTACGATTTATGAACACTGCAGTTGTAAAAGACAAAACTTGTGTTTGCAAACGCCAGGCCTGTCTCCTTGGACTTCAGGTACAGCTGAACAATCTGATGGTCTCCTGTCAAAAAACAGATCAAAATCACACAGAAACAGCTATTACATTATTGGAACACAAACTCATCTTTTTTTTTTGTCTGTACCCAGAGAGCACACTGCAAAGCCCATGCAGTGCTCATTTTTACCACTCAGCTTTTCCCAGCTGGGCCAGGACTCCCTGCTTAGCCTTACCTAGCCTGGGGTTTTCTACCAATTAGAGAGACACAGAGAGAAAAGTGACATTAATATCACGGTGATCCAAAATCCCTTTCAAATATAAGATTTCAATGCAGGCAGAAGGAACAGAATTTAAAACAGCCTGCTGTGGCCGGTGGCCAGCACATGAAGTAAACTTGAGGATTCCTGCAACTAATGAAGATCCTCGCTGTCTACTTAAATGCTTTAACTTTCAGAGGCTTGAAGACTCTTGCTGTTTCATTAAGTTTTAAAATGAAATAAATGTTGACTAGACTGCTGAATGTGCCAAAGCACTTCTCTGCACTCCAGCACACCAACTCCAGCAGTCAGCAAGGGGACTGAATCAAGTCATAAATATTCACAAGCTTGCACTGGCTCTGCAGTCTAATCGAATGAGTCCACAGCGCTGCTGGGGAAGCAGCTGCCCAGTGTACACAATCCATTTAAGGAAGCACCTGAAGCCAATATGTTTTTTTTTAAATAAGTATATCATTATTATACCAGTATTATTACAGCTAACAGCTTTTAAGTGTAATTAACTTAGCAGTATGCAAATACAGCCTGTTTGATCAAAAACATCAGACTTCAAATATTTACAATTATGAGAATGTTTGCTGTTCTTGCCCATCATTGCTGCTGATATTTAATAGGTTGATGGATTTATTTTACTATAAAACAAGAATGCTAAACCTCAGAATGCAACCTTCTCAAACCACAAATTCAAATTATAATAGTTCTTAACTCAAAATCTTGTTTTGAATGTTCATAATGTTCAGTATAGTTGGAAAAACAGTACAAGGCTGTGATGTGACACACAAAATATATTTTCCTGAGGGTAAGAACATGGTGTGCCAGTGACCCACCTTATCAATGGAATTATTTCATGCTAAAGATAAGATGAAAGACTGTGATGAACTGTGACTTCTTTAGGTGGTTTGCCCTAACTGTACAACAAATTCTGCAGTCAGTTCAGAGCAATGACACTTGGTAAAATCAAGCTGACCATTAACAATGAATAACACTCTATTAAGATTTGTCTTGGGGTAGTGAACCTTTATCATTAGATGCTGAACCCACAGACCATTCTTCTCAAAATAGCTGTAGTTATCTCCTTAAAAGCTTTTTTGTCCTCCTAAATATCACACATCTGACACCACAAATTATTCTAGCTTGATTTTTCAATGTGTCTGTCTAGATATCTAGCCCTATCCGCCTAAACAATTCTCTAGAGGATTATGCAGATCTACCTTTGGAAGGTTATTTCATGCTTCGGAACAGATTTTCTTGTTAAAGAGAGTTAGTGAAAGAGGTGTCAGACTCCACCTGTCATATGCCAGAAACAGTGTACATCTCTACAGAATCTTAAAGACAACTCAAAGAATGTTATATCTCAAAATTATGCAATACCTATCAGTGTTAAAATTCTATCAAATAGTGTACAAATACCAATAGAGACAAACAAATGCAAAAAAAATTAAGGGTTCTTGTAGTTTTGTCTGAGTCAGTATTTTCTTAATTCATAACCAACAACAACAAAAACAGAAATGGATAGAATAACAAATGTATTAATATGCTATGAAACACATTTCTCTCCTGTATTTCTTTAACATGTGTCTCAACTACTGTATCTTTAAGAGATCAGTTATTTTTTGTGTGCAGTTAGGGAACAACAGAGGCACGCATTGTGTAATGTACATTTGAGTACTAAATTATTTTTTTAGATAAACATACTGTATATTCCAGTCCTCCAGTCACACTTTCTCTGCATTTGTGCCCCGTAGAGTTCAGAGGCAAACTGGAAATATTATTCTTGGCTCATAAGCCTCTGCCTGGGTTAGAACCTATTTACATCTGAAAACTTCTTTCACCATGCACTCTTAAGTCTAGCCTTCATTCTCTTGATTCTATGTTTCTAGCAATACCTGAAAATAAGCACTATTCCCCTCGCAACTCTGCCTTCTCTTCTTTAGCATTGCTATGGAATGACCTCCAAAAGATCACAAGGGGTAGTGATACAGTCACCAGTTTTAAATCTCAAAACTATATTTACAGTAAAATGTATCACGATACATTTACAGAAATCAAAAATGAAATTGATTCCATCCAAAAGTGATGCTTCACATAAAATTCTGAAATGTATATGTAGAAAGGGGACTAATTTCACTACAGAAATTACCAAGTGATCAAGCTTCTGACTATTGCATGTAAGATCATTGCAAAACATATCCCTAATTGTCTAATTCCTGCAAAACAAGCTCTCCGGAAAGCTCAATGTGGGATTAAAGGAAATATATTGGGTCCACCAAACCCTCAGATCAGCATTCTTGAGGCAATCTGGAATAGTACTTCTTAAAATATGGATGTCCTCCAAAATTCAGCAATATAAATTACCTGCTTCATCATTATATGTACTGTATGCTGTATCCTCAGTAATGAACCCAGTACAGATCTGGACTGTATGCTTGTCTGGACAAGAGTCATAAAAGGATACAGTATGCAGAATCTGACTCCCATGGAGCATTTAGTTTAAGACCCTATGGCAGGAGAAGGACATCAGGGAAAACACAGCGAGGAATGGACGGGATGATGGACAGGGGACGGTGTAGACAGTGATCCGGTGCTTGGTGGAAACAAGAGCGGACAAGTCCAAGAGGAAGTCCAAAAGGGAGAAATCAGGTGCAGTCCAGGGTCCAGGTACCTGGAGATCCATCCAGACAAGCACTTGGAACAGGAATCCAGGAACATAGAAGGTTAAAACTATAATGGAGAAAGGCACTCTGAGCCCTGGGCACAGTGGTCAGGATGCCGTGACAAAGCCTATGCCCTCGAGCTACTCCTAAGCCCGGTGGTAGGCAGGCTTCCGTCTGTCTTCAAAAGTTGAGCCCTGAGCTGCAGAAGTACCGGGTTTAAATAAAAAGGGAAAAAGACGCAGGTGAAACTAATAGCTGTAGTAACACAACAAAAAAGGTAGGAGCGCTCTCTAGAGGAGGGAAGACGACCGTGACAATGACATCACCTCATCTCTATTTTCAATACTTCCGAGGCTCGTGATCCACTTATTACAGGCAAGTTTCCTGCTGGAGTGCAACTGATTACGGAATGGACAGTAAATCATTTAATCTCTAGCAATTCCAGTCCAAAACTAAAACCACTCAAACTTCAGCTATTGAATTCCAGTATGGTGATGACACTAGAGGGCGTGAATTCATAGAAATGGATCTCCAGACAATTGTCATCTTATTTGCTGAGGCACATGAGAAGATGGGACTTGCACTTCATGTTCTGAAGATCAAAGTGTCCATCAGCAAGCTCCAAGCTCGGAGCACCTGGTCCCGTTAGGGTTCTATTTTTTATGTTACTAGTCTAACTTCCCGTACCGAAGATGTTACCTGTGTCTATGTCTTGGATTGATCTCCCAGTTCTCGGATCACGGACTGCAGCCTGATAACCACCTTTTTGGACCTGCTTGCACTTGGTCGCCTTTTGAGTTTTCCCCTGTGCACTGGATCACTATTTCTGCCCACTGTATGTGTTCCCTGATTAAACCCTGATGTATTTCCCCTGATGTCTGTCTCCAGGCTCTTCCAGATTATACCATCGCGCATAGGGTCTTTACAACAGACTTCAAGGGAATCAGAACTGACTCCTGTGACAAATAGCACCTGATAGTGCTTGATGGGGTAAGAATATCTGGCAAGGAGCCCGGCACTTTGAGTCCCGAAAGTGTGAAAATAAAGAAGCAAGGTGAGAACACAGAATAAGCTTCACCATGACCACATACTGCAGTACATGACCAGATATCTCCCAAGATAACAACTAGTCATCTTACCAGAGAGAGTCCGGATCCCATGTTGGGATCACCTTTGGGTCAACTCTGGGTTGATGGAAGTCAATCATCCTCAGCTCTGATGAGGTTGAGAGTTTGCTATAGGATAATATTTTGGGTACAGGCTATAATCTGTTTGTATTTTTCTGTTACTCTAAAAAAATATGAAACTCTAGTTAAAGTGTACTTGTCTGGAGAACATTCAGAGACAGACAATAAATACAGACATTTACTGACCCTGCAATTATCAGAACGTTTTTATTTTTATTTTTTTGCGATTTCAGCTGTCCCCACTGGGCTGGTAAAGGGCCACTTTTTTAAACTACTCTACTCTGGGTTGCTTTCTAACATCTTTATGCACCTTTGCTTTTTGCATACCCCGTGCTGCTTCCAGTGTAGTGGAAATATGCAAATTCCACATTTAGCATGCATTGATCATGCATACCATTACCTTAATGAATAAGGAAGTAACTGATTAATTTTCACATGCAGTGTGGCTTCCCCATCCCACACTGTGATAATGCAGTTCTGCTGCCCTTTATTTTATGAGGCCCAATGTACAGTACTTTAGGTTTCTCTGGAGGTACACTCTTAAACAAATGATAACAAAATTAAATTCCTAACACCCGTAAACCAGATAGCTGAAGTAGACAGAAGTAAAAAAATGGAATTTTATTATATCTATAGTAGTTATAGAACCCCTTGAATAACAGAGGTGGTGGAAGAAGGTCAACTCTGTGAATATAAAAATAATAGATTGCTAATTTTAGGGTTCCTGCATACATATAAGAAACAGAAGCATTCATTATGGTATTATAAAATCAACATTTATTATCTGTTTTTTTGCTAAGGAGATTGTTAATTTGCAGAGGAGCAAATGTTCCTTTGTTTCTATGCCGTTCCTCAATCAAATGTACAGTAGCACCCATACTACATTTGACACGAAACATAATTATAAATTGGTACAGGCATTTTTGCTGACTGCCAGAGATACTGCACAGCAATTAAGCATGGATTGGTGCTTAAATTACTGCAATTAGGATTTAGTTAGGTACAGTATGTTACAGTTATAGTAATTATTATGGAATAAGTAATAGGTTTATTCCATGCTGAAAAAAAGAAGAAAGAAAACACAGCGTTTTGGCTGTGGAGCCTTCTTCAGGTTTGAAGAGGGCTCCACACCTGAAGAAGACTCCTTGGCCGAAATGTTGTGTTTTCTTCTTTTTTTCAGCATGGAATAAACCTATTACTTGTTCCTTTGCAGCCTACGCATGCTGACGCAGCTACCCACCTGAATTATTATGGAATGTTTTCCATGAAGTACTGAATAATGCACTGAAGGAACTTCATTTCGGGAAAGGATCAGTACCCTTCACATTATTAAAAACATTTCTAATGTCTCTTTAATCTGCCTGGCTCCCTCGATTTATATAGAAAGATTTTTGTATAGAGACAATGGATTGCATTATTTTAGCATCGGTTTAGAAGAAAGACTCACCTGTGGAACATTAGTTTTTTTATGAGCACAATCTTACTGTCTCCTGAAAAATGTTTTCTGTTTATTTCTGTGTGCAATACGATTAGGAATTCAGTGTGTAAAGACAGAATGTAATGCTATGGACTCTGGTGCTCAGTCCAACTGTCCATATAAGTTTGTGTGTGTTTGTACCTTGCAAATGTGTGTAATAACTGAGGATTGTAAGACAATGCCTCTTTACTTGTCTGTATTCGGTTTGTTCATTGAAAATTAAAAAAAGTAATGCAACCTTGATTGTTTTTTTTGCTGAACAATGGTGATGTTTTATTGTTTAACTGTCATACATGCTTTGTATGGAACGTACTGCCATCCCTAGCTAGACAAAAAGACACAGCTCATACCAAAGTACAGTAGCTCATTAAACCAGAGATAATCCTGGTTACCATAGCACTAACAGGACTAAGATCATATGACTCCCTCCCTGGAAAGGACAGCAGCCCATTGCAGGGATTACCCCTTGCAATGCTGGTCTCCACTTACAGTATACAGCTGGGTGGACTGAAGCATCTGGGATAAAGTACCTCACTGAAGGGCACAACAACAGAGCCTGCCACAGGAACTTGAACTCACCAACTGTCAGCTGTTGGTCCAGAATCCTACCCAAACTGCCAATCCCTAACCAAATCCCATTTAATAATAATCATAATAATAATAACAGAACAGTATACTGTTCTTTGTACTGTTCTCTGATTTAAAGGCATGTTGTTGTTGTTCAGTGGTAAATGTAGTTGGTCCCCTTCAATGAGCATAGTGCTTAAGTTACACCACTCTATACTACAGAACACCAAAACTATTTTTGATAGTTCAGTCTTTTAAATTAAAGTCACACTATTCAAATGCAAGGAATATTATTATTATCATCATCATCATTGAACTTCCAGCTAATGTAACAAACTTGACATAACTTTATTTTATGTTCAATCCATGCGAAAACTGTTGTGAATTTGGTTTACTTAATTAATTTCACATTGAATGGGTTGGAGGGATTTATAAAGAAGTCTTACTTGAAGTGTAATTTGACTATAGCATTCCTTCTGTATTTCTGATAATTGGAGATTCAGAGCCATAAGCATACTACACATACTTGTATGTTTCAGTTGTCATTAAAATAGTCTGGTGCTGGTTGGTAAGAAAACGTTCTTCAGAATTCTGAATTCCATTAACAATGTGAAACAATAACAGTTATTTCTGCAAAATGAGGAAGATGAATAGGTCTCCCAAGTCTTTTAAGTCCCTTTGAAGAGGGAGATAAAAAAACAAAATGTTAATTGTGATGCAGTGAAAACAGGCATTTGCGATTTCCTTTTGTTTTAGCTAATGAAGAGACTCATGTTTAATGCAAAGGTGTAACTCAGGTCACGCCACTCAAAAGGAGCATGATGTTCCTATTTCTACCTGAAAGATTCATTAATCAATCACAGTAAACCATGCCTGACAATTAATCTATCTAAATTAGTCAAACTAAATGTTGCCTTGATATTCCACATTATTACGCATCTGTGCCTATTCTTTTTGACAACTCTTGCAAAGCATGTCTTCCTTAATGGATTACAGAGACTAAAATAGGGAAACAAACCTGTCCGTCAGCAAAGTACAGCTCAGGCCTGAGGAGCTTTACTTTGACATAATGCACTAATGAGTTAATAGAACAGGAAGCTAGTAGAAGAGGTGGGGAGACAGAGAATCTTAGGAACCTTGTCTGATCAACATGTAGCTGCAAAATATCAAGTATTTTGTGAATCCATCTGAATAAGTCAAGAGTTAAAAAGAATAAGAAATCAGTGGGAATAAAAAGATATGACGGTTTTTGGTGATACTTTGGTGAATGACAGAGCAAAAGAATTTTCACATTAAGATGCATCTTTGTGCAGTAATCTCTGGTGAATTCATGTGTATGATCACAGGTGTCTGTACTAGACCAAACAGTTTATGCTTTTTAGTTCTATCAGAGGTAGATAAAGGGGATCCTATCAAACACTTCATGTGAAGTGCTCTGGGATCCATTGGAATAAAAAGTATTATACAAATGTAAACTATTATTATTACTAATATTATTATTAATGAAATGGGGGTGGGTTAGGGATTAGAAGTAACATAATTAGATTATTATTATTATCACTGTTGATGTTCTTGTCTATAATACTACACTTCATCTCATTCTAAGAGGCCACAAATTGGTACATGTGTTGGGGCCTCTCCATGTTAACTTGCAGTAAATGTGTATGGTATTCCAATGGGTATTTCATGCGATCTCCCCATCTATTGTCCTTATTGCCTATTGTTCATTCACACACGGACTTACTATAAATGGATTGTCAGGCTGCGTCAAAGCCTGGCACCTCATGAACTGGAACTTTTATTTTGGTCCTTTTTATTGATTTTCATGTAAGTCAAGGAAGGAAAAAAGTATACATACATATTAGAAGTTATTTGCTGTGCTGCTAGGTTTACTAAAAGGTAATGAATAGCACTATACAAATGGAAGGAATATTAAAATTATATTATTATTAATAAATTATTATTACACCAACTACCACTGCTACTACTACTAATGATAATAATAAAAAGAAGAAGAGTAGACCCATGTGTGAAAGTGGCCACAAAGATTTCCTCACCTTTATCAATAATGATCTGAGGTACTTCTTTCTCTGCTGGTGAGTTGCATTTAATCCTATTCCCTTCCACCAACCCATCCATTTCAGCCAGGTCTTCAAAAGTACAGTTTACTCCTGCTGAGAGCTCTGGGACATTGTGAGCTTCCAGGATCAGCTGCAAATTGAAGAAAAGCACAGTTAGAGTCGGATGTTAAGATCACCTTTGCTTTCAGAGAAAAAAGCAATGTACTGTACATGTACATATAATGCCATAATACACAGAGGAAAAAGCTCTAAATCTAACAATGAATTAATGCCTTACAAATACTGAGTATTAATGAGTGTGTAAAGGATCAGGTGAAGTTTAATTCCATGCTGAAAAGTAAAATAAGGAACACAGTGTTTCTTCAGCTGGCATCTTTGCAGCCCATATGTGCTGACACAGCTCCCCACTCAAACATCTTCAATTAATCAGGGTGGCTTCTCTTCAACACTTACTGTACACCATGCTTTTATTTTTCTCTTTTTCCCGGCCCATATATAGAACATTTTCTTGACCTGTGTGCTCCTTCCCCCTTCACAAACTGCAAGGATATTTCTTCAAGACTAACATTCTACCTTCAACATATGCATTCATTCTTATTATTTCTTACATTATTTAGATAACTTTACTCTAAGGACATTTCCAGACATTAGGACCTGCCAGAACAGGAGAATTAAGCTATCTTTCTATGATCCCATTTCTTCTGTGCTGGCATGGAGATTGAGGAAACCACATGCTTGCATGCTTAAATCTAGATCTTAACACACCCCAGAAGTCTTTGATTCAGAAAAGAAGAATGATTAAATTCCGTGGATCTGTCAGACTTGAACCGAGTTTATTATTGTGCCAGAGTATCCAAAACTTATCACACTTCAGATCACTCAAATATTTATCTATACAAGCAGAGTACTTTGAGGCACTCAGCCACTCTAAGCCATTTTTTTAACCATTTAAAGTACAGAAAAAAATGCTCTTAACATTTTGCCATTTTAGTACCTAGTTTTCCTCATATGAAAATAAAACTGGCTTAAATTTCTAAAAATCTAAAGTGTGTGTGAGAGCAAAGGTACATGAATCATGGTACTTGTGTGGACTTTCAATTAATAGTATTATTCTTAAGCAAAGAATGTCAAACCACATTTTCCCCTCGGAGGTGTAAATTAATGTAATTGTGGTGTAAATTAATATGGGATGAAATAAATACTGAATTAAATACATTTCTCAAGAAATGAAAAATACTATATTTTATGACTAAATGTATTTACTTTCTTTGTCAAGACTTGAAATTAATTATTTGAATGATTAGCTGTAGTGATTATTTGCTGAAGAATGCAAAGAATAAGGATAGAGAGACAACCAGTATCAGAAGCTACGAGAAGATCATTAGTAACGTTTACCAGGGCAGTTTTTGTGCAGTGAAGTTGACGGAAGCATGTTTGGAGGGGCTCGAAAAGGTTATTTACAATGAGGTGGTTATGTAATTGAAATGAGACAGCACATTCTTGAATTTTTGCAAGAAAGGGTAAGTTGGAGATGGGATGAAAATTGTTTAGATTGTCCAGAGCCATGTTAGGCTTTTTTGATATGAGGGTAGTGGCAGCAGTTTTAAACACTGGTGGTACAACGCCAGTGCTCAAGGATTCATTTTTTATACTGAGGACAATGGGGCAGAGAGTAGTGAAACAGGACTGAAATAAAATGGTTGGAACGGGATCTACTATAGATGTGATGGATTTCATGTGTAAAACTAGAGTACTGAAGGATACAGAGCCAAGAATAGAGAGGTTGGAGAGAAGGGACCAGAAAAGTATGTAAAGGAGGGAGAGGTGTGAAAGTGACATGCGTTGTGGAGAGAACGTGATGCCAGATGTTGTTGATCTCGGAGCTAAACATTTTTTTAAAAATGTATTGCAAAGTTGCGATGAGGGAGCTTATGTAGATTGATATGAAATGATACAGTAAGTACAATAAAAATGCATTTCTGAAGAGGTGGTGCTGCCTTTGGTGCTGAAATCTGCATTTCATGTCTTTCTTTTGGTAAACCTCACTTTTGGTTAAAGGTTTATCTTGATCTCATTAGTCCATAACACTTTGTTCCAAAATTCAAATATTATGGCCTGGACATACATGACTGCCTCTGGAACTGGTTCACTTGTCTTTATTCACAATGTGACTAATGATGGCAGCGGCAGAATGAATGAGAGTAATATTTCCAAAACATATGCCCAATGCAACCAAGAGTTCATCAGCAGAAAAAAAAAGTGGAAAATCTTAGACTGGTTAATTAAATCTCCAATTTTGAAAGAAGAAAAGACTGAAGTTGGAATACCCCAAGAATATTCAACAGTTGAAAATGGCTACAGCCAAAGTCTTGGCAATTATTACAAAAAGGCTTTGGTGAGCTCAATGACTTTGCAACCAAAAAAATAACTTTTACGCTCAGAAATTTAAAGTGAATATGTTCCAAAATGTAAGCCTTTTAGAAATCACAGGACTGAACACAAAGTGTTTTGTAGCAAAAATAAGTTTTGACTTTGCTGTCCCATAACTTTTGGAGGGCAATGTGGATCTCTTTCCATCTGACATCACGGTATATGGGTGCCACTGCAGTGCAGTGGTTAGCATTATTGCCACACAGTTTTGGAAATGGGGTGCTATCTGCATTTAGTTTTTACATGTTCTCTCTGTGTTCACATGGGTTTCCTCCAGGTGCTCTGGTTTGATCTAGAGCCCGAAGACATACTGGCAGGTTAATTGGGCTATGGGAAAAATAGGTGTGGATGTGCGTGAATTTGTGTTTTGTTTGCATGTATCTGCCCTGTCATAAACTGGCATCCAGCCCAGGGTATATCCTGCCTTGTGGCCATCGCTAGCCAGGATACACTCCAGCTCCCTCGTGACCCTGAACTGGATGAAGCGTTATGAAAATACAGTAGATTGATAGTACATGTGCATATTGTCATTAGGATCCAGTGCTAGGGAATATTACATTTAAAACGTAATTTGTTATAGTTATAAATTACTAGTATAAAATATTAATTTTTAATCTGGATTTTTGTCTTTTCCATTAATAAGAAGATAGGGAAATCTGTTTTTAAGAGGTAATGCATTACCTTACAAAGAGCACCATAATGGATGATTTTCTGGGATATTTTTTCCCCCAAGTCTTGTTAATTGAAAATGGTAATCCCCTGCATGATTAATTTGAAAGTATAATGGATTCATTTTTATAAAACACATTTCAGTATTCCAATTTGGGGGTGGGATAAATAGAAAATTTATATAAATAACTAACGTAATTTTTATTGATATTATAGATGTGTACAGTATAAAATATTAGTCAAACTCAAACTTTGCTTGAATGTAAGCAGAAGATTATGTAAAGTATTACCCTTAACAAAGATACAGGTGGCCAAGGGTCAAGATCAAATATACATATTTATTGAAAGTGGAGGCTTCACATTGATTTAGGCATTCACAACATTGAATTTGTGATATAGGATGAAACATTTTTACTGTAAAGAAAAGCTGAACTCGGCTGTTTTTTATAGTGCTGTGTAATGAAAAAAGCTACCTTCACTGCAGATACAGATTTTCCCATTAGAGTCAGGGATGCAAAAAGCTGTGCCATCATAACTCTAAACATTTATTTTCGTTTTCACTTTTGGAGCTAGGAGACAGAATTTTATTCAGCCCAGCTTGGACGTTTATTTTTGTACTTGATAAAGTTCAAATTTGGTTTGCACGCATCTAATCTAAAACTCTTTTGAAGGTAAAACACTTTGGAACTGTAAAACAAAAATGTAAAGTGAAATGTACTTATATAAAAGATGGATGTTGAAAGTACATGTACTGTAATAACAGGGGTGGCACGATGATACAAAGGTTAGTATTGTTGCCTTGCAGCACTGGGCCCCTGGGTTCCATTCTGGACCTTGGGTGCTATCTGTATTGAGTTTTCTCTGTGTTCATGTGAATTTCCTTTAGAGTGCCTGGGTTTACTCCCACAGTCCAAAGACATACAGTACTGGTAGATTAATTGGCTTCTGGAAAAATTGACTCTGGTGTGAGTGTGTTTGTACGTGCGTTCGCTGTGAAAGACTGGTGTCTTCTCCAGGGGGTATTCTGCCTTGCGCCTGTTGCTTGCTGGCATAGGCTCTGGCTCCCCCATTATCCTGTGCTGGAAATATTCTTTATTCTTTCCACAATCCCATACTCTACTATATCAATTTGTGACTATTATAAGAATTCTAAGTCAATATCCATTGAAATAACATACAATATAAAACAAATACTATTAAAACTGCATTAAAACAGTATGTTTGGACTTTTTCATTATCAGAAAATGTCACATGTACATACAGTACTGCCATGTTAAAAGGGACACTGGGAGGCATCAGAGTACAAAACTAATATGTTTAATAAATTCCTGTTTTGTTCATGTGGTCTACATTTATAACTGCGCTTACAGTAATATGGAAGTAAACAAACTCCAGTAGTCACCAGGTGAAACTACTATTGGATGATTATCAGAATGAATGGAATTCGATCAATTATTTTTTTCCTTAACGAGAAGTGATATTCAACTGAATATCAACAACACTGATGCATTAGTCCATGAACTTGCACGAAGAGGAAGAAGGAAGTGAGTTTAAGACCGAACAAGAGAGTATTTTTATGTTAATGTTTTATATATAGAAAGTTTTGACTTTTACTTAAATCTTTAACAGATTTCTTTCTTCATAAGAATATCTAATAATAAATTGGCTCCATTATACACTATCAATCTCTTATTACAGTATATTCCACATTCATGTTTTTTGAAAATGAGAAGTACAATGTGCCTAATTGTTTGGTGTACTTTATTAATATTAGATAAGGCCTTAATATACAGATGCAGCCATTCAAAACGAGCGGGGTACGCTGCGGTAGACCGTGGTGGGCGTGTCGCAGCAAAACGCGTCATAACCATATACTGGTGTGTATTTTGTCTTTAAACTACCAATACCAGCCATATACAGTTTACATGATATGTTTATGTTCCTAAATTAATAGCGTTTATGATCATCAGCGTTATGTTCCTCTTCTTTTTATGCTCAGCAACTAATATTTCCCTTTAGTTGTAAAATTCCAAATAAATCTTCAATACTAAGCAGATAAAAATCTGCACAGTAAAGAGATTAAATGATTAAATCTTTCCAATGCACCACGAGTGTCCCTGTCGGTCATTTTGGCCAGCCAACCACGTACCATGGTATGACATAGGTACTGTAGCTGCATGCAGTACGGGTTTGTACGGTGCACTTTGAATGGCTGCATCTGTACAATATCTTAGGCAGGAATTTTTAAAGACACACCTTTTTTATTATTTAGGATAATAAAAGACATTTAAAATAAAGTTCCTTAAAATGACCGAAGATGGGGCAGAGACCTTTAAAAGAGGGCCAGACAATGAGTTTCCGAACATGAAAAAGTGTATCAAGTTTATGTAAAATTTACAGAAACATGAAAACACGGCACTGTAAAGCACGACAATCTTACTGAACATCTGCACAATCCTACTGAACATCTGTAAATCTTATTCCCTAGAGCTGTGAGGTAACAAGTATTTTACATTTCCATTCCAGCCGAGAAAAAGAGCATAAAAGAAAAGCTTACATACTGTACAGTTTGTGTACTCTGAAGGTATCCAACCAAAGTTACAGTATCTACTGTAACTACTAGCTTATTTATCCATCATTATTTAGTAACTTGTTCCTCCTCAGTTTCGTAATGCCAAATAACCTGAACAGCATGTCTTGTGTGACTGTGTGAAGAAACTGGAGTAGGTGGATTGAGGATGCATATACTGTACACTCCAAACAGAAAGTGTCCCTGGCCCACATCTAACCCAGAATCCCAGAGGTATGATGAATAAGTGCTATTCCTCTATGCCTTCCACTACCTTATCTTGTAAGATTCCAAAACTAATACAGTATTTTAGTCTTACTGTATTATATTTAATGTTAAAAGTCACTTATGATGACAGTCATGTTTCACAGCATGAATATCTCTCAGTTAATAAATCGCAGCCTCACCCAGGGAAGTTAGAACAATTAAGCTTGAAAATTCCATAAGCATTAATATGAAAACTGAAATAAGATGTTTTGGCAAAAAAAAATACAACATGAATGGACTTCATGGAAGAAAACTGGATTCTTACCTTTTTATTGCACATTCATTAGTGTGAGTGACAACATACTCTGTGGATATGCAGACTCAGATACATTCATCGGCCAACATATTATTAATAAACGATGCCAGAGGGAGGTAATGTATGTCTTGAAGAGTGTGAAGCAGATTTCCATACCTTTTCAAGGCCACTACAATCCCCTGACCTAAGTCCTACCTAAAACTGTTGGAACAAGTGGAATGTACAGTTCATTCTGACACACACCTACAACCTTATCTGAAAGCATGCCTGCTAGATGAATAGGATGGGTTTGGGGTGTAGATATTGAAGAAATGTCAATGTCAAATACAGTACATTCTACATTCTGCACAAGATGTTTTGGCTGTTCCCAGTGGCACAACAAGTTAGTCAGTAGGATTCTAAATATTATGGTTAGGAAGAATACTCCTCCATTTACAAGCTTTTCTGTGCATTTTAAAAACATAAACACATAAACTCCAGAATGAGAAGTTATAAGAAAAATCAACCTGAAACATAAATCCTGATATTTAGTTGTAGGGGAAATGGAGGGAAGTGCTAAGGTCTTAAGCACTATACTGTGTGAAATGTCAAGCTGCATTCAATTCAGTTTCACTGGAAGAACGCATTGGCAATTTCACTTCAAAATATTTTTTGAATAAAATGATAACCGACAATAGAAAAGAACAGTTAAAAATAAGAGAGGTCTTGTAAATGAGGGTATTAAAATGAAATACGTTAACATTTGTATGTCCTACATACATGGTGTATGTTCTTTCATTGTTGAAAAGGTAAAAAATCTCCAGAGCTTAAGTTCCATTCTGACACACATGTAATGGCAAGCAGCACAATATATACTTTTTTTCCCTGCTTCAGCAATGCTGAGGTCCCATACTGTATATGCACTTTTCATTCCGATTCAGAGTGCTGCTTATTTTTCATGTTTTCAGTGTCAATTTCACAGGTGCTTGCTCTCCAGATGGTAAGGTAATACCAGAGCTGAATGCTCCCCTCTCAAATGAGTCGCCCTCGTTTTCACATCTAGGAGCCAAATGCATTTCTATAGTAACCAAGAGCATTTGTAATGAATTGAGCAACAAGGTTTGTTGCACAGTTGCATTCCTGTCCAGTGAATAAGACAAAACAGGCTATCATTGACCAAAAAAAGCCCAATTATGTTTTTTATGTGCATGGCTTAAATTAGAAAAATGCAAAACACAAAGAGAGACCACTTGGAGTGATCCAGTAAAAAAAAAAAAAAAGCTTTCATCTACAATGGGTTTCACTCATCATGTGCCTAGCAGGATAAATGGGATAAACTGGCAAAGACAGCAAAGAATAGAATGCACACTTACTAGTACACTGTACTGAGACACTGAAATATTGTTTGGGTGCACACTGAGTCTGACACACTGCTTGATATGAGATGCAAATCTTCGGGGCTCGGTCGAGCGCTCACAGTATTCTTTTCTGGTACACCTGCAAAACACAAGCCATTGGAATTACATAACGTCAGTAGCCAGAACTCAGTAATAACATAATGTATTAGCTTCTTTCAGAACAGCATCATCTAATCTATGCCATTAATATTAAATTCATACTACAGTTTTATGAAATGATTCAGCAATATAGATTGTTCTTTACACCATTTAATAAAATTCTAAACTGACTGCGTGGAATTAGTAAATATGTCCATGTTTCTAGAGGAAAAAAATCTTTTCACGGTAGTGCACCATTTCATGTCCATTGAGAACCAGTTCCCAAACCAAGCCAGCGAGGCGCAAACACACCTGTGGGATTTCTTCTAGTCAAGCAATAAGTTATATAGTTTATCTTTGGTGTTTTATTGGTTACTTAAAATCACATTGTTTCAAATAGAAAACGTGTGTGTTCAATTAAGGAAATGTGCAAATTTCATCAATGGTCCAATTAAGTAAAGAGCTGAACTGGAATAAAAAAAAATTAGCAGGTGCTTGGGTCTCCTGGTTCAGTATTTTAAACTCCTGGTGTTATCCACAGCTCCTGAGAGATCAAAGCAGAAGCCAATGTAAAAAATGTTTCCTGAATGATTTATGGGATTGTGCCTTTTTTTTTTCGTTTTAAAAGAGCAGACACCAAACTGTAGTTTTGATTAACATTTAAAACTCTTCTGTTAAACCAGCTACAAAAAAATATCATACATTAATTGTAAATATCTGAAACTGCAAGTTAATCCTGAGGCATCACAAGTAATGTTCATCTTGCAATAATACTTCCTTTTCATTAAATGTGTAGCTTGTACTTACGAAGTTAAGCTGCCTAACATAAAGAACTTAACACAAATTCAATGAAAAAAAAATAATCTGCTTCTGGGAAGAAGGGATTTAAAACTCAGGGGTGATTTTCTTTCTCTTCAATTCTATTAAACAAAGGAAATGATGTTTTAATCAGTCTCCTTCTCATTGTAAAATTGTCTGCTTTTTTCTACCACTTTTATTGGTTATTTAACAATCTCTGATGACATTAGCTAACTTGAAAGCTCTTTGCAAAACAGATGGAAATTACTGCAAGTATTTAATAACAGTTTCTAAAGTTGAGACAGTATCTGGAGCATTTCTGGGGTAAAAGCCTACTTACAATAATAATATGCAGGATGTCAACATTTTAACAGCTTTGTTGAACTAAAGCTCTTTTCTGAGTCAGTATGTTTATGCGTTGTGGTGTTTGATACTAAAACAAAATGTACATTTGTCCAATAATCAATTTATCATTAAATGCATCATTTATAATAACAGAAATAACATTTACAGTTTTAAAACAAAATATTTTAATTATCTGTCATTTAAATACAGATATTTTAAGTTTAGCTTAATATGGTTAGCATACTGTATGTGTTTTAACATACAGTATAAACTGGTAGAGACCAAAAGACAAGAACAGGCTCACCCACACAAGACATTGGCATTTTCATGACAGTAACTCACAATGAGGCAACCTTTTTTAGATTTATTTTCTCCTCCACCACTGACAGCATTGTGTTGTGCAGGAATATATTGTTCTAGACTCCCTGTGTCCCAGGCCATCAATGTGTATCTTCAATCAAGGCATTTCTTTTACTGTACAAGCAAATCCCTTGTGTAACATGATTTCATTTCATTGCTCCATGTTACATCCTACCAGGACTTGTATCATATTAATGAAAACGTCAAGATCTGTTCTTAGAGAGATTCCTGTTATTTGTAGAGGAGTTCGTCAGAAAACAGAACGATACATAGTTTCATGCTTAAGAATACAGAGAAACCTCTAATTTACTTTTCAAAAACCATTGTGAAGCCCAGCTTGACACCACTGTATAATGGATGGAGTTTCAAGATACTGTATCTGGAAATCAAACTATTAGATTACTTTTGACTTGTGATGATGTGACACAGCAAAATATATTCCAACATAAGAAACAAACAAATCAATTCATACATTCTTTTTCTACATTTTTTCCAGTCAGTGTGGTGTCAAAAATACTGTACTATGCATGTTATGTAATAGTTTGTTGTATTTCTTAAACTTTTAATTTTAAATTTCTGAAACCGAATCCAATTATTTCACTGTATATGCTTTGCAAAAGTAACCCTCCCCTTTCCGGTGATACCCAATTATTATAAATGATGTATACATTTTTTTCAAGTGAATAGTTTTAATAAGAACTTGTACTTTGAGTTTTTGGGGACTTTTGATGTTCCTGTCCACCTTTCATGCTGCAATGGTGCAGTCTTTGCCCATTATTATTCTTTGAAAACTTGCTTAAGCTCTGTCAATGCTGGGGCTAATGATGGACAGCAACTCTCAAGTCTTGCCAAAGATTTTCTGTCAGATTCAGGAGTCTGACTACACATTGTTAGTACAGTAATTCAATGAAATGAGACACCATCGGAAGAGAATGAATACTTTTGCAAGGCAAACCACTGACAGGCTTATGTATCGTATTATTAATTAGGGGCATTCTCAAAGATAAAAAAATATGAGTCAAAAATCTAACACGCCCACTATTTACATATATTCCTATTGTAATTTATAAAGATTATTCTCAGAATCAAGTGCTATGGCAAGTACACACATTTAACCAAATGATTTAAATAGTAGTTAGCCAATCTTGTATTTCAAATTGATAGTTGTGTTGAAACACCATAAAGATTCGAGTTCCAAATAGTGAAAAATACTGTATCACGAATACATATTTTTTAAAACTGTTTAAGTCAATTTACTAATTCTGACAAAAGTATAATGGACACATCTGCTAATGTAATAAAACAAACAACAGAACAACTTTCTGAAGAGATAATTCTCTGTTTATCCACCTTCAGCTCAAACCATTTTCTCTGATATCTTTAACCTCCAGGTACTTCTAATCTATCAGGCATTAATGCAGCTGCCCTCGGGGACTTTTTGAAAATTTCTGATTATGTTGTTGCCTCCAGTAATCTTTTTTTTTTTACATTAGAATAGAACCAAAGGGGGTCACAGTTTTAAGAGACTAAAGGCAGGTGATTTAGATTCATGGCACAGTATGTTGTGTCTAAAAGGAGTGACTAGCACACAACAAGAATTACATTTCCATAAAGATAAGGTTATCTTCTTTCTGCTGTTCATCTACTGAGACTGCATTAGTATTTATTAAATTGTAAGGAAAACAACATCAATAATCATCATTTAATATGCACCCAGTTAATACATTTACTATTTTATTACTTACGTGGTAGTTCATTACACATATGCATTATCATGCAGAAAGACTAAGTTGCTAATTTATTTTTAAATACATTGTTGTGATTAATTTAATTTTATTTCATTTTGGAGACATTAAATAAAAATAACAGATGATGCTGCAGCATTCAGTAACCTTTCCTTACTCTCAAAAGTATTTGCAATAAAATAATATTTTAATGACCAAACAACACCTTGGGGCTTAACCTCTAAACTACAGTAGCAGTCTATGAGTGCAGAATTTTCTATTTAAAGAATAAATTGGAAAGATGCAAAGCCCAACACTGGACAAGTGCTTCAATGATATACAATTCTCTCTGTCACTGCTCAGCTATTACCCCCCAATTTGCTATTTGAAACATAGCACCACAATGTCTTACTTGGCTCCCAGTGCGACACGAGGTGCTTACGGTATATTAACTGCTTGTTACATTTGTTTTTTGAATCACATGTTATCCCAACTTCAGGATGTATTTTTAAACGAGTTGAGAACGCGTTACAATATACAATCTCAAAGCCTGTACGTGGCTCACATGACCCAGGTGCCTTTTTTTGAAGAAACAGAACAGAATTTAACACAGTCAGTCACTGAAATCTTATATAGTTCACCCTAGAGTCTAACTATCATGTGAAATAAACTTTGCAGGTGATTGAAAAGGAAGCTTCTTTTTTCAATTTACCACGGTTCCTTAATAAATCACTTTTTTTTTTCATTTCAGGCAATTACCTGCTCCTGCTGGCAGTCAGACACTCACAAATTAAGTTCCAGTACCACATTGTGGTTTAGACTATTTTTTAAGTTTATTCAGCATTCCAGTAGTGTTCCAAATTATTAAGTATATTTTCCACTACAATCTTGTGCTATTTACTGCAGCTGGTTGAAAAATCTTTTTACTTTTTTTTTGAGGAAATGGTGATATTCAGATGTTTTAGTTGATTGTGAGGATTAATGGTAATTTTATGTGCAAATCATACTTTATACATGCATAACAAATGTAAACCAATACCAACAGTTATTGATAAAGTGTGCATACAGTATATGACAAATATAAAAATCTCATTAATATGATTGCAAATGATCATTACCAGATTACTTAAAGTTTATCAATGTTGCCATCATAAATTATGCGTTATAAGAGTTTTATGAGTGAACTTTCAACCCCTGTACTAATACTGGATGAATACTGTTCAGATGTTCTTATTGTAATCGTGTACTATAAGTACTATAAGTACTAGCTATGTCCCAAAAGCATAAATAATCCATGCAGAAACCTAAACTTCGTTGTTTGGATTCAAAACCTAGAAGCATGGGTTTGTGTTTTTTCAGTTAATTCAAATTAAATAGTGCAAGATACATTTGATGTTCTTAGTCTGTGCTTGAAAAAATAAATATACTGTATAAGAATCCATGCTTAAACAGAGTTTCTAAAATGTAGAAGTTATCAACAAAATTGTAATCAGCCTGAAAGTTTATATTCATTATGATTATTCAAATATATCATTTTGGAAGGACAAATTGACAATTTGAATGAAAAAGACAAATTGAATGCAGGGGAAGATGAATATGTATAAGTATTTGGCATGATTCACATAGTTGAAGGAATGGCAACCTACCTAAGGATGGTCAGACAGCCCAAACCCCCACTCACGATTGCAAGGAGTGAGTTAGGGACACTGAAGCAAGGGTGTGTGTGAAAGTGGGGGGTGAGGGGTTGAATGTGAGAGAGATGTGCAAAAGGAAG